CGTATGCTGTGTTTTTGGGAAATTGTAGTCTGTGAGTTTACTATTTTATACTACTTCTGTGATATTACTACTACTTCTACTTCCTGTTATCTTCTTCATCATCGTCTTTTTCACCAGTAGAAACAGACGGTTGTTGATCACGTGACTCCTGTGATGTGAAAAAAGTGTTTCCATTGATGTTTTTCACAAAACATCAATTTCGATACGGCTGAAAAACCACCTCATCCTAGTGCAAAAACATTTTGTCAAAAAACTTAATTTTTTTCTAAATTGACGTGTTTCCATTGAGCAAATTTATTTTTGAAATTCTAATTTGCTCATTTTCATGGTGAATGGAAACAGCTAGTATGAAGTAACATTTAATGCTTCATAAAGAGGAAAACACAGAGAAGTGGATGAGCCAAGCTATAAAAAACTGACTTATTGTCCTGAAAATACTGTCGTTTGTTAAATGTCTGAATCCAGATTATACCGTCAGTGTTCACACTTGCTTTGAATGTTCCTTGTTTTAATGCTCAGGTGTCCAGTTAGACAAACCAGACCTGGTTCCTAGAACACCTCCACCAGTTGGTAACCCTGCTGAGGGTGAGGGCCACCTGTCCACCTCACCACTGGGCAGCACAGGAGTTTCCTCCTCCTCTCCTCCACTACGGTACATCTTCACACCCTCCGCATGTTTTCACACTGTTTTCACTTCTTCTGGTCTGACATGAAGTTCCTCTGTAGGTCTGTTGGAGTGGAGGTCCACAAATCTGCAAACACAGACCACGACCAGGGAACCTCTCATAGGTACACTCTACTACAGACCAGACCTGCTATAAAATCATATGTACTAAAGATCTGCTTTTCTTTCTTATTTTAGTTTCTAATAATGCTCTAAATGGATTTTCTGGTCAAACCTGTTGTTTTCTTTCTGTTCAGCTGTGTTGTGATGAAAAACTAAAAAACTGCATCAAACACTCAGAATGCACAGACATCTCACTGCAGCCTTTTTAAAGCTACCTTAAAGTTCTCCTAAATCACTCATACACACAACTGAAGAACAAATCTGTTGGTACCAACAGTTCTTGCATGAGGCCCACTGGGAGGTAGTCTCAGGTAACGTTTCAATAGCTGGTTAATGTTTGAAAAGTAAACTTTATCTGCAAGTCATATTTAAAAAAAGGAATATTTATGATGCAGACACAGCTGCTGTTTCTTAAAACATATCAAAGATTTGGGCCTGATGATTTCTCTGAACTACACTTTATTGTGACTCTTGTCATCAGAGGGGAAATGTTTTTTCCTCATCTTAATGTTGTAATATGAGATTATTTTCTAATTAGACTGAAGCTTGGTGTTTGTCTGCTTGTGTCATGACTTCACTCTTAGCTTTCTGACCGTATTTAATTTGTGTTTCCCTTCATAACAAACAGTTTTTACTCATTGAAGTTGTGCAGAAAATCACTTTCTGTATGTGTTTATTTGGCTCTGTTAATTGATTATTAATTGGTTCTGTTAATTGACTCTGTTAATTGGCTCTGTTAATTGACTCTGTTAATTGGCTCTGTTAATTGACTCTGTTAATTGGCTCTGTTAATTGACTCTGTTAATTGGCTCTGTTAATTGGTTCTGTTCTGTTGATTGTCTTTTCTCTGTCAGTCTGGGAGCTGAAGGGTCGGCTGATAATCCAGGCAGTCTGTGTGGAAATGAAGACGTAGTTTCTCTGACTGACATCATCCCAGAGACTAACCTCTAATGTGTACGTCTGAATGAATACTTTAGTCTTGTTAGTTTATCAGCTTCTTACTGACAGTAGTTTGTGTTGCACAGTGAAGAAGAAGAAGAAGAGGCTCCTCTGGACACCATGAGGTGGACAACATGAATGAAAGTCATCGATCCAAGGCAGAAGCCTTCATTGCACCTGTGTTTTCTTTGTTTTTCTTTGTTTTCACCTCTGAAGTACAGCTGGAGCCACGAGCTGATGGACAGCAGGGATGAGAGGAAGGGACTGCGTAAGCTTCATCACCCCTGTGTCTGTGTCCACACATTAACTGTCCCAAAGAAACGTTTAGACCCTGACAGTGACCACTCTGTTGTAGCTGCAGCAGCATCACACTGAGTGATAAAAAACAAGCTGTACATTGTAAACAGACATCATCAGTGGATGAAGGAGCGTGGCTGTGGTCCACAGCAGGAAGAGATGTTTCAGAGCAGCTGAAGGGCTCAGCACTGCAGCTGTCAGACATGTCCTCATCATGGAGAGGACTCTGAACTGACAGTGTGACGATTATCAGTCATCAATCAACACTTGCTGCTGTCAACTTTACATCCAGTATGCATTTCTCTTCACTTGTTACTTCTCTACAGTGTTTGAAGTCCAACTCTGAGCCCAACCCTGTGAGCTTGTTTTTCTTCCATGTTTGAAGTTCTTCTGGTCACAGTGGTCACAGCTCTCACCACTGTCCACTGGGTAAACATGCATCTTATTAAAACATCCACATGTGTGAGCCGTCACATCGAAACCAGGATTCAATCCAAAAGTGCAGAAATAAGCAGATAAAGGCTTTAGATTTAAACAAGTGCAAAAACTGTATTTTATCAAAATATAATGAATTAATGCCTTATCAGTGCGTCATTTAAATGAACTGTCTAGAATATAATCCTAAAAAAAGTTTGAAATTTTCCCTGTGAGCTAGCAATGTTTTTGTTTCTTTACAACTGGGAAATCTTTTTTAATCACTTCAGTAGAAAAAATAACTTAATATTAGTTTCTTAATTTCTTCATCATCAGTGATTTTTTTAAGTAAAGAGAAAATAGAAAAAGAGGGAAAAACAAAGAGAAAAGTACTTAGAAAGATTGAAATAGAGATTAGAGGTATATTAAATATACACCAAGAAAACACAGGACCACACACCCAACATCTGTCTGCTCACCTGAAAATAAATGGATAAATACATGGAGGGCATATATAAATATATACACACTGTACATACATACATGCCTACATTCATACATACTGTAGATTTATACACACAGACACAACACGACATATATACAACTGGGAAATATTAATATTCAAATACTGTTTCAGGTTTCCTCTTTATATTAACATAAAAATGACTCAATAAGTTTACATAAAATTAGGATTCAGACCAAACAGTAATGTATTATTATAACCAACAAGACAAATCAAATAATATCTCTGGATAAACTGATGACATCAGGATGATCCAGGTATCAAAATGTAGCTTTTAAAGCAGGAATCAGAAAATGTAATTATGTTATTTTTGACTGAATTTGACTTAATCCTTGTTTTGATATGATGGCTCACATTTATAAAACCCTGAACGTCTCAGCCCTCTAATGTGGCCATGTGTGCAGACATGACTGAGTGCTGGACAGTACATGCTCTTACCTTGTTTTTAAATTAGAAAAGGTCATTTTTAATTTATTACCTGTTGTGTTTGTGTTTTTCCCTCCTGTTTTCTTAATGTATAAGTGACATTTTTAAAGTTTAGTTTGTTAGTTGCGCACAGAAACTTTGCCTTATCACTACGGCTGAAGTCATAAAACTTTCATTTGTATGTTTGAACCAAGTCATCAGTAAGTGTTTATAAATTTGAATTTGGACACTAACTCAGTAACACAGCCACATTTTCAGTTACTAATCTGATGTTTCAGCACAGTTATAACGTGTGTTTTTCCTCCTGGAATCATTTCTGCTGGTTACAGAAATGATCTTACTGAGTGTTGGACCAACCATGTGCTGAAGGTTGTTGGTTTCTGTAGTTTTTATGAATCACTTGCTTCTGTTCTGACACCTGGTGATTGTAGCACAACTTGTCATCATCTGATTGTGTTACATGTGAAGCACATGTGGTCTATGCAGAGAGGGGTAATGTGAGCTGTCTGTAAACATAAAACAGGTGCGTTCATGAAAGCACAGGTGACTTTAGAAGTGAGTGTTTTACTCTGAACAAGTACTGGCACCAAAGAGACAAGCTGACAGTAGTTTTAGTGTTTTTGTTGTGGTGAACTTGAAGTAATCCACTCCTGTGTGAACTGATGGGTTTTATAGTAACAACACTGGGCTGACCTGTGTTTAACCATCGGTCATAAAACTGGATGTTTGTTTTTCTCTCTTTGCTCTTTTGTAGAACGTTTTCAATTTATTATTATTATTTTTATAGATTGAGTGTTTTGACTTTAATTTCTTTGTCAAACAGTTCATTTACATTATTTCAAAATATAACCCTACATTCCTAAATAATAAAAAAAACTTCTCTGTACTACATTTGTAGTGGCGTCTAGGACCTGCTGTTATCACCTTATGCTGTAGGTATTTCTGGTGTTAAAGAAAAATAAATGTTCATTTTAGACGCCTCTGCTTCCAGATTCCAGAGAAACCACTCAGACAATCTGATGAGGAGAAACATGCAGTTTGTTTGGAAATAGATATTTTTGTGACTTTATCAGCAGTGGTCAGGTTTTATTGGAGCAGGCCGGCCTGAATGGGTTAGTTCCACATCTTAGCACAAGAAAGAAAACATGGTTTGGTGCTTTAAGGCTGCAGGCAGACGTAAACACTACAGAAGTGATGTAATATAAACTGCCACCGTTCAGACTGAAGCTATATTTATTGATCTGACTGGTTGCTGGAGCTTCAGCTGATTGTAACTGCATACTGACAGAAGGATGTTTGAAACTTTATAGTTATATTACTTATGAAGGAGAACGATTTGACAGTTTCACCTTTTATATGTAATGTTTAGGTTGTGATATGATAGCTCTATACTCTCCATGATGTTTTGGGATTGTTAATCTTGCATTTTTTCTACATGAATGTTTCACATGGCATCTGAGCCAGTGTTGCTGGTTGTTCTCTACGCTTCAACGGCTATATTTTTACAGTGTATGAAGATGTGTATATGTACATATGAGTCACGAAAATGCCTTCTCATGCAACATGAACTGCCTGTTCCTCCTGCCATGTTTCAGTTACATTATGTGCTGGTGATGTTTTCATGTCTGATTTTAAAGAATAAAATACTTTCTATGCTGCGTTTTGATTTGTTTCTGCATGAAAACCAACAACTGTGATTTTCACTCCACGTGTTTGGGTTTGTGAAGAAACTGTAGTATTTATATTTTTTTATTTTGAGTAGGTACACGCCCCGGTTTTCACTGAATGTTTCTTTTGCTGTCATCTTCTGGGGTTCCCAAACTCTTCCATGTCAACATTAGCTTCTCTGGCGCCTCCTGGTGGACCCCACTTTGAAAAAAACTGTCCCAGTTAAACACATTTCAGTGTCCAAGTAATAATTTATAAAACAGCATGAGCCATTAAAAAATAGAAAAGGCTTGTTGTGATTCACAGTTTCATCTTCACTTTTTAGCTTGTCAATCTGCTCAGACTTCAATTTTATTTCTCTGAATCATGATTGATCAAATAGCAATCTGTAACAGGTAGGATACTATTTATGCATAACCTTTCCATAGAGCCCAAATGTAACATATTTGAGGTACTGTACTGACATGTTGCAGCAGGTATTTCCAGGTTAAAAAGTTGTTTCTGTTTACAAATGATAAAGTGAAGCTTGTCAGAGCCAGCATTTTACTGATTACATAATGCTGTGATTTAGTGATGTCATACCATGACAGCCAATCAGCTCAGAAGCTGCTCATTCTCACTTGCATAGCATAGCATAGGGTCCAGTTAGATGTATGCAATCTCTATGAATAGAACAGAACAGAACAGAACAGAACAGAATAGAATAGAATAGAATAGAATAGAATAGAATAGAATAGAATAGAATAACTTGTCTGTCCCAGGTGGTGACAGAAAGGTTCCTTTGACAGGGCTCTAACAACAGCATAAAAATAAATCGTGATTGATCAAATAGTCATCTTTAACATGTAGGATACTATTTATTCATAACCTTTCCATACAACCCCAATGTAAAATTTCTCAAGTATTTTACTAACATGTAGCAGGTATTTCCCTGTTGAGTTCACAGCGAACCCAACAGTTTGTCTCACTTTTCATTCATTCATTCATTCATTCATTCATTCATTCATTCATTCATTCATTCATTCATTCATTCATTTATTTATTTATTTATTTAGTG